ACAAGAACAAAACAAATTGAATGACAAATACCAATAAGGAAATTTTTCTTCCAAAGAAAAACTTTACCGTTTTTTCCCTAACGATAATGGGTTCGGTATAATCACCATCAAGGTTACCTACAATTTACCTACGCTTGCTACAGCAATGATTGCGCCGCGTTCCGCTGGTTCCGCAATCTGAAACAATTATTGCCGACACAAGACAGGAACCATACTTGGCCACCCGCTATACTATTTTGAAAAATGATTTTTAATGAATATTGGTATTTTGTTGTGTTTATCAAAACGAGGAGAAACTTGTGTGCAGTAACTTTTTTTTTTGGAGTTGCCAGAGTGGAGAAACAAGAATGTGAGTGTCTTAGAAATATTACTATCTAACACAATCTACCGCAAGGGAAGTGGCACAATGTCAATGACTACAGCAAATAATATAGACATTTGATGTCTTGGAAATAAGTACTTTCATCAATAAACCAAAGTTTTCAGAAAATAAAACACCAGCAAATGTGATAATATAATATAATTTTTCTCTTTCCTAGCTTCCTCTAATTTAGACTTTCCAATCCAATGCGAGCATCAGATACAGCTTCAGCAATGTTAGCAGCTCCACCAGATAACGCTCCAAGGGCACTGAGTCCAGCAAACAGATGTAAGAGTGGAATAATCCCTTCAATTTTTGGCACCCGGATAAATCTAGAAATTTCAATTTTCTTCCGACCACCAGTTCCACAATGCTGTCTCACACTATTAACAACATATCATCAACACATAAAGCAAGTTATGAACCTGAATAAATATGAATTTGGATACAGAATTTTGAAATAAAAATGCCATGTTTTACCTTCAAAGGTTTAATGCTTGAAGTATTGAAGTAAGAATCTGGAGCAAGCCTTTGAAAGCTAGAGAAGTAATGCTTTCAAACGAGCTCTAAATATAGGCAGCAATTTTGAGAAGTGTGCATACATGGTAAAAAGTTTTCCATTCCCCTCTCTGGTACTTCGGTTCCGTTGAGGCATTTCTGTACAGATTTCATATTCGATGAAATAGGATCTCCTATGTCATATATGTCCGGAATACTCCCTTCGAAAGCCTTTCGGTTCTTACGATTCATATAAACTTTTCAAACTCAGGAAGTATCAGAGATGAACAGTGGGAGCCATAATAGTCTTGATCACATAGGCGGTATCTTCTTGTGTTTATCAAAAGAGGAGAAACTTGTGTATGTACAGAAACTTTCTCCTTTTTGGAGTTGCCAGAGTGGAAAAACAAGAATGTGAGTGTCTAAGAAATATTACTATCTAACACAATCTGCCGTAAGGAAAGTGGAACTACAAGCATGTACAGCAATTATTAGACATTTGATGTCTTGGAAAAAAGTACCTACTGGCAATAAACCAAAATTTCAAGAAAATAAAACACCCGCAAATGTGGTATGTAATAAAATCTTGCTCCGACTTCATCATTTTCCTCTTTCCTAGCTTCCTCTAGTTTAGACTTTCCAACCCGAGAATGAGATACAGCTTTAGCAATGCCAGCAGCTCCACCAGATAGGGCTCCAAGGGCAGTGAGTCCAGCAAATTGATGTATGAGTGGAATAATCGCTCCAATTTTTGGTACCCGGATAACTCGTAGAACTTTTATTTTCTTCCGGCCACCAGTTTGTCTAATCGTTTTGCGAGCTGCTTGAATTGCCGATTTCACATAATCGCTGGTTCTTTTTCAACAATGCTGCTTCACCTGCTTAACAATATATCATCAGCACGTAAAGCAGTCATGAATTTGGATATAGAATTTTGAAATAAAAATGGAGCAAGCCTTCAAAAGCTATATGGGCAGCAATTTTGTGAAGTGTGGATACTTGGTAAGAAGTTTTCCATTTCCCTCTCTGGTACTTTGTTTCCGTTGCGGCATGGAAGTGTCAGTGAGCCAATAGTTTTGGTCACATCTGCTCTATCTTCTTCTTGAAACTTTGCTCGTTCTTCTGTTAGTAGTTGATTCCATTGATAATCTGTTATTAAAGATATAATCAGGCCTATGATGTATCCTCTCCTGTAATTTTAACAGTTGTGTTATAGCTCAAAGTCTATACCTGTCTCTATTTTTACGTGTAGAAAAAAAAGTGACCGATAACTTAACATTGCTGTTAAAATAACAGAATATGATACGTACATCATAGGCCGAAATATCTCTCAATTTTCTTATAACTTTCCAACTCTCCGTGCTCCTTCAATTTGCTATATAAACCTGGTCTTTGTAGTCGACAATCATTCTTCTGGCTACAGCTTCCACATATTTTTAACAGATTAAAATTATTATTAGTAGTAGTAGCTCATACTTATTTTCGACATTTAGATGTTCTATTTCAATAATAATTACCCATTAATTATTAATAAAAGCTTGATTTCAACACGACCTATTTTTAATTTCGATACATTCAGACATTGATTATAAGCGAATCATAAACCAGGAACACACCTCTTTGTGTATGGTTCCATACCAGTGACCAGCAAGTCAGCTGTTGCAACGCACGCTGCTTTCAGTCACTTCCGATTGAGGGGGTTTGTTGACTAATTTCAGCGTAAAATTGCAGCCGCCTATTGCATTATTGTATTGTTCAGATTCAGACATGCATATGTATGTACCAGGTGATTTATGATTCATAACACAAATAGACAAAACAGCAGATTGGTATTCAATCATAAAAGGGTCAAAATTACAGTGCTTAAAGCTAGTTCAAAAATATTTACTAGATAATCCTGCAATATATTGATGATACGATCTTCGGATTAACAGCGGCAATAATAAAGAAAATGCACCGCAACGCACCCAACAAAGCAGCAAGTAGGCAAGAAACGCGTCGTATCAGTACCGTTGCCCGTAGTACCTATCCTATATCGGATCAGTTTCACTTTCACTAGCTATTTTTTATTCTTAACGGTTTCTTGAGTTAGGCCGGCACGAAAATTCGTTACCATTCAGCCTTCTTTTGTTGCAGCACTTTGCAAAATAACCATCGAACTATGCAACACCGTTTATGCAATACAATATAATATTTATGATTGCATTTGCTGAAATGATGTGCGATTTAATATTTAAAGCGACTTTCTAAAAGTCATTGCAATACCTATTCAATATGAATCTGGAGAAAAAATTGCAATCTTTACTTGGCTTAGTTCTCTGGTTGTCTTTTTCTCACCCGTTGAGAAGAGACAGGCTTTGTAAAACACCCTCAGTAGCTTGAAGGATGACCTACGAGGTTGCAAAGTGGCATTGTGTGCAGGAACTGGACTTTCGGAGCCCTGCTTACATCTCAGAGAATGTGCTTCTGGTTTGAAGGTGCCCAAATGCAGGCATCTATACCAATGTCGAGGCAGTTTGAATTTGATTTTCCTTTCTACTCGTGTGTCAGATACAGCTCTAGGAATGCCAGCAGCTCCACCAGATAACGCTCCAAGGGCACTGGGTCCAGCAAACAGATGTATGACTGGAATAATCCCTCCAATTTTTGGCACCTGGATAACTCAGGGATTTTCAGAAGTGTGCAGGAACTGGACCTGTGGTTGCCTGCTTACATCTCAGAGAATTTGCTTCTGGTTTGTAGGTGCCCAAATGCTGGTATCTATACCAATGTTGAGGCAGTTTGAATTTGATTTTCCTTTCTACTCGTGTATCAGATACAGCTCTAGCAATGCCAGCAGCTCCACCCGATAGTGCTCTAAGGGCACTGAGTCCAGCAAACAGATGTATGAGTGGAATAATCCCTCCAATTTTTGGCACCTGGATAACTCAAGGATTTTCAGAAGTGTGCAGGAACTGGACCTGTGGTTCCCTGCTTACATCTCACAGAATGTGCTTCTGGCTTGTAGGTGCCCAAATGCTGGCTTCTATACCAATGTTGAGGCAGTTTGGATTTGATTATCTTTTCTACTCGTATATCAATACTCGAGAATCTTCTGGTTCTCCAAATCCGCATGTCATCGCTCTTGACATGAAGCTCATTGCTTCTTAATTTTTCTGCAATATAGGTACATCGATTAGTAATCTACGGATTACCGCTTAGACCTTTTCCCATTTCTTCAATTTACTTGCCATATGGACCTGAACCTCTTGACAACATGGTCTAATTGAGGATGCTCTGGATGGAGATAGCTGATGATATTTTCACATCTGAGGCATACGATGCTTTGGGAGCTGCTCAGGCTTCATCTTCTATTTCGTCTTGGATTTCAGTTTCTACAGCGTCTAGAGTCGTTACTCTCTTCACAATGTCATAGAGCCCTATTCGTCAAATCTCCCGATTCTACTACTTCTAGTTCATATGCATATGTTGTTAACTTTGATAGGATACATAAGGTGTAGACTTTCTTTTTGGCGTCAGCTAGATACTTGATGTATGAAATTAGATTAAGAAATATAATGACCGATATCCAACGATATACTCAACTACATTCCTTCCAGCTGCCACCGCTGAAAAGTCATTTAGTGAATTGAAGATATTCAAAAATTATTTGAGATCAAGTGCCACAGATAATCAAAATTTGAACTATTACCGGCTCTTGATTCCCTGGAAAACTTTCTAGGAGCCAATCAAGAGCCGGTAATAGTCAAAACTTGAACTTTTATCAACTCTGGATTTGCTAGAGAATCTTTCCAAAGATATTCAAAGCTCAAGAGCCGATAATATTCAAAATTTCGAATGATCATTAGCAGCTCTCAAGTTGATATTAATCAAAATTTCTTCTATCGCAAAAATTATCTAATGGTTCAAGTGCCAAAGATAATCAAAATTTGAAGTATTACCGGCTCTTGATTCCCTGGAAAACTTTCCTGGAGCCAATCAAGAGCCGGTAATAGTCAAAATTTGAACTTTTATCAACTCTGGATTTTCATTCCTTTGAGGCCATTAGGCCCAAAAACACATGATTTCTACCCCTTTAATGCTAAGATTCCACTGGACTTGGATTATTAACGCCAAATTATTATTATTTTCTTTTTTTCAGGCCATTTCCAAGGAACAATGCTAAGATACAATACCGAACAAGTTGCCTCCATCATCGCCCTTCCAATCATCGTAATCCTCCTCTGCTGGACAGTGGTCATATTCCACAAAAACCGAAAAAAATGGGGTCCTTACGACATCCCCATCGTTTCCGTGCTTATATTAAGCATCCTTAGAAACCTCACAATATTCGCCTATACTTTGGCAATTATTTTCACCTTCAACATTTTCAACACCGATTATTGTGGTATTGTTACTTGGATATTTAACTCTATACACACGTTTCAAGCTTCAAGTTTAACTTCCATTGCTGTTATTGGATTGTTTTCAGCAAAGTTGCACAGGAAAAATCAAAGTTTGCGTACTTTTTTGACTTCTACGCATCTAGTTTATCATTTGTTCTGTTTGACTACTTTGTGCGCTTGCGTAGGAGTTGCGGCGATTTTGGCCCAAAAAACTACCTCGACGGCAAATATTTTTGCAGACACTGATATAAACCCTTGCAGTTTTCTACCATTCGAACTAGACTTGAAATTCAATGTTTTCATTATAGTCTTGCACGTGTTTCTGGCCTCAGTTTCATTTATAGCTTTTCTCATGATTTGCTTCAATTTTTACAAAATCAAACGGGAAGGTTTTGAATACATCAAGAAAAGCAACTCGGACTTGAGCGAACTCAGTAACAATTTTCATGGCATCAACACTAATGTCAACGACAATCATAATCGACACTATTACGACACGTACACTATAAATCGTAGCGACAATAATAAATTTTGTAATAACGATACTTGGGTCAATAATCACTTCAATAACAGTGAAGTTTTGTCGAATAATTCGACCACAGTGAGTTCGACGAATTCTAGAAGGCCTTGTTTGAGGAGACAGCATGAGGAGGAGAACGAAGTGGAGGTGAGGAGGACTGGATTGGAAACTATGCATCCTGTGTTGATTGTCTGTTACCTGTTCTACCATCTACCTCTGATTGTAAGTTGAATTTTTTCTATAATTTTTAAAATATTTATATTTAACACAGATAAATGGTTCATTTCAATTATTACAAAGCTTTACAACAATAATTGGTTAAAGTCGGCCATAAATCGTGAAGTAGGTATAAATAATTCAAGTGTATTTAGAACGGGAACATATAAAATTCCAAAAATAAAATGGGGCACCCAATACGCATTGTACGATGGTAATGATCCTTGAAAAACTAAAATAGTTATTATTTAAAGTAATAAAATTTGTTACAGATAAGCTTTAATTGTTTTTCTCTGGTAAATTATACCTACTGCTGACATCATCTGGCACATAAATTTTCATATAAGCACATGCAACATCAGAGTGGTAGTATCAAATATCGTTTTCCTATTATTCACTTGAAAATTTATTACAAGATGCCTTATGTGCAATATCGTTTGAATACAATCAGTCTTATGTGGGTTACCCAATAGGATAATGATTAACCTAGTTTTTGGAAACTTTACGATGGTAGTTGGTTAGTTCAATAAGGGTTTTCATTAAAAAAACCGCAAAATCTGCTCTGTAACTTTATCGAGGTCAGATCGTGGAGACCTCCTGAGGCTATGGGTCAAGTTTAGAAGTTAATGTATGAGTTTATGAAAATAAAATTTTGACGATCGGTGATCTAAAGGCACTGTTGACCCCCTTTACTTTTTAAGATAGATGAGAGTGTGCTGCGGATGCTACAAATTATTACTTACTTATATGGTTACTATAGAGACCTTGAACCAGGCCATATTTAGATAGATTGGATTAAATAAGCAGTTTGTATAGATTTTAAGCTTGGAACTTCAATATTAGAAGTGTTAACAGAAATAGAAACAATTTACAAATTTTCAAGTATAATTTTTATGATCTGGCCATCAACATAGGTATACAGAGAGTTGTCTGTTGTCTGACCCAGAGTCATAACTAACTCTATTCTGCCATTATATAATTAGATTACAAACAAACAATGACACATCATCGCTACATTTAGGACAAGCGAATGCACTTTTAAATGATACAATTAAATACAGCTGTTGTTTTAACATAATGACTTGTTTATTAAGGAAATTGAGACATCTTAGCTCAAGCTTTTGAAGTTCCTTAATTACTATTATGTATAATGGCACACAGACAGTTTGTATATTTGTATTTGGTTGGTAAATATTTACAACGTCTAGAAATTGCATACTACAGGATGTTTGGGGGTGTAAAGTTTTCTGACCTATTTATGTGTAGCTGAAATATTTGTCACATAATTTGCTTTACGTTATATTTGAAAAAAAAAAGAGGATAGGACTAGTATTTAGAGGTAAAATCCTTTATTGGCAGATCGGTAAATTCACTTAATGAGTTCCAAATAATAATGATCGGAATCTATGAATGACACATAAATGGATCAAAGGTACAGCGTAGAACTACGACGCTATTAAGTATTCCATTTCTTTGGTATTTCATCCCTTTGTCTTCTATTAACATTTCATCAGAAGTCACTTTATCTTCTCTTGGTGTTTTGAGATCGTTAATTGATCTCATTCTCACTTTCTATTTTCCGCTGGACCTTTATTTGTGTCTCCACTTTGGGATCTTGATGCTTTAGACTGTTCATCATAGAATATTTCTAGGTGAGCACCACTCTAGACACTCCCCAGGCCTGTTTTGGATGCTGCACCTTTAGACGGGAAAAACCATTCAATCTACTTGCTTTCATAAAAGCTCTAAAGCTGAATGAGGTGCTTTGAGTGAGAATCCAATCGATTGAAGCACCCAGAAGGGGAACACAATAGATCTATGCAGGTCACAGTGTAACAATACTCCCAATTCATAAATTCATTCAGCTTTCCAAGAATTCCAAGCTAACTCAATTTTATTATTGTCCATTTCTTCTGTTCCATCTTTATTCTTTATGTGCCTGGTTTCTCTGCCTTTTTGTTGTTTGAAATATTTTATTAATTTTTGCATTTTTTGTTCCATTTTCTTTCTACTTATTCTTGCTTATTCTATATCTTCCTTTCTGTTTGTCTTCTTTGGCACTTTCTTAACTACATCTGTATCTTCTTTTAGTGTGCTCTGAAATTCTCATCCACTTTTATAGTTGATGTCAAGCTTTACCCTTTCATCGAACAACTTTTTTCATTTTTAGCTCTTCGATCATTCATACATACAATATATACTGTATATACAGTGTGTTTCAAAAGTCTAGGAATGGTCAAATATTTCCATAGCGGCTTGAAATAAAATTACGAAATTTTCTGCATATGGGTAATTAATGATGCCCGATTCAATGATCACATCGACAATGTTGCCAAATTTACCGGTTTTCAGATAGGTAATGTAGGTTACTTCGTTTTTTTAAATAGGAATACCACTTTATTTTCATTGCAATAAATTTGGCGCTCTATTGTTATTAAAACCTCTTGATATCATGTTCCTTTTTTACACGGTTTCTGAAATATTGCAACACAGCCTTTTTGTTCAAAAGTCTGGGAACGGTCAAATATTTCCAGAGCGGCTTAAAATAGAATTACGCAATGTTGCCAAGTTTACAGGTTTTCAGATAATGTAGGTAACTTCGTTTTTTTTTTTTTTAATAGAAATACCACCTTATTTTTAATGCCATTTTGGTAGTCTATTGTAAGTGAAACCTCCTGATTTCAAATCCACATTTCAAGCGGTTTTTGAAATGTAGCAACACAGAATTTTCTTGTTCAAAAGTTCGAGAACGGTGGATTATTTTGACAAAGGCTTAAAATAGGATATTCAAAATTTGATGAAGAGAGGTTATTGTGATGCCCAATTCAATGAATATCAAAATATCGATACGCTGGAATTCACTCAGTTCGAAATTCATTCTTTGAAGGAACTTGAAACATCTGATAATTACCTCTACCACTGGAGAATAAACAAATGAATATCTAAATTTTTAGTTATTTAGCGTACGTGTATTCTTTCATGTTATTGTTTTGACAAATTGTCAAACAATACAGGGAGTATCAGGTATGAGTACAAATATTTTAACATGAGATAATATGACCTTTTTCAAGCTAAGACTGTCCTATTAAGGCTATTAATCATGAGTCAATTGTTAGTATATTTGAAATTATCGCACAATTTAAATTTAAATACTTAAATGTTAACAACGTGACAACATTGTAGAGATAATTTCTACCAGGATATTAATGTAAATAAAACTGTAAATTCTATTTTTTTGCAAGCATTTAATTTATTTCCCCCTGATTACGTTTTGGTTTGTTATTGGATTTCAAATAATGTAAATAATAATTTGCATTTTTATCACTTTTCTAGTGAAAATAAAAAATGTGCCGTTTTATTATTAAGTTGTGAATTGCACTGAACGACATTTTTGCACTGAACATTCGATAGAAAAAAATTTACACACTCACATTTCCCATATCACGCAATCTTTGTGAAACCGGCACAATATTCAGGTAGATGCCCTTCTATTGGGACTTCTTTCCCTGTAAATTCTGGCGGCTAAATGAGCATTTTGCAACGATTCTGCTGCCTTAACAAGTATCTGCATATTCGACGTTTGTGAACATTTTATTTTCAACCACATACTCTTTCTTGTGCTATGTGATGCACCCTGTATAAAATATCAATTTATACTCGACAACCAGTTTTTTTAGTGACATTTCTACCGGTATTATTAAGATAGACAGATAAAATATTTTCCTATAGGGTAATATTTTCTCAAATCTCGAATTGACCCCCAGAAAATGTAATCCTACTTTCAGTCGTTTTAAAAATTTGACCGTTCCTAGACTTTTGAACAAAAAGGCTGTGTTGCAATATTTCAGAAACCGTGTAAAATAGGAACATAATATCAAGAGGTTTTAAAAACAATAGAGCGCCGAATCTATTGCAATGAAAATAAAGTGGTATTCCTATTCAAAAAAACGAAGTTACCTACATTATCTGAAAACCGGCAAACTTGGCATCATTGTCGATGTCATCATTGAATCGGGATCAATAATTACCCAAATGCAGAAAATTTCGTATTTTCATTTCAAGCCGCTCTAGAAATATTTGACCGTTCCCAGACTTTTGAACAAAAAGGCTGTGTTGCAATATTCCAGAAACCGTGAATCGAGCATCATTAATTACCCATGTGCAGAACATTTCGTAATTCTATTTCAAGCCGCTATGGAAATATTTGACCGTTCCCAGACTTTTGAAACACACTGTATATAAACTAACATTATTTCTAAATTTCAGTTGAAAGCCAAATACATATCCGCGAAAATAATTTTATTTAAATCCTCTAATTTGCATTGCCAATTAATTTGCTTGTCATTTAGAAGAAAGTATTTCTCATAAATATTTCGTATCTATGATAATAAATTCACATTGTTTAATCCGTTCTAAATTATCATCACATAAACAGTTTTTTTAAAAAAGAAAGACAAATTAATTTATTGTACATACAATGTCTAGGTCAGGAGAACATCCTTTGAACATTAACAGCAATTATTTATCTGCATCTATGTATGTTAGTTTAACTAATTATTTATTCGTCTAATGTCTTAGTTTGTTGGAAGGTTATTATTAAGGCATCCGTTGGAAGTTGTGGCCTAGTGTTAAGAGGATACATAAATTTTAAACATTGTTCAATTATCGAAGGAATATTTTGTACCTCCCAGTAAGTTCAATGGTATTATTTTTGAATTTCCCTATAATGATACGATTCCATATTATTATTTTCACTTTCGTCATTGATTCAATTCAATTAAAAATGAAATGTAATCTATATAAGCTAATTGTCAATTAAATGTGCTGTGTAATTGATTTAATGGAGATTCTTCAGTAGTTGTTATACCGACATCTTTCTTTTTTGTTTTTATGGGAATGTAATGAATGAAAGTTACCGTAAATCGCTATTACACATGTGAATTATATCAAGGATTTGTAATTAATTTCTGATATTTTGATGTAATTTATTTTCACGCTGTCGCAAT